TTCTTTTCTTCATTGTTTTTAATATATTGATTCACTCTATCCCAACCCAAAATCCTAAATCAATCATCCCCGAATAGTCTCCAAATTCTCAAATCAATATCTCCAAATACATCACAAAATCTTAAAAAAATTACATCACAACTTCTACAAAATTCATCACAAATACATCACATATTCACATCATACACAAATCAAATACATCACACACAAATCAACTCAGATCCGAATCACAGATTCTAAAAAAAAAAGAAAAAAAAAGAAAGAAGACGAACGGCCCGCCGCCTCGCCGGCCGCCGCCGTCAGCCGCCAGCGCGCCCGCACGCCGCCGCGCCGCCTCGCCCTGCCCTCCGTGCACCGCGCCGGCCGGCCGGCCCTCCGCGCCCCGCCGTTGCAGAGGGAGGTGGGGAGGAGGGAGGAGGGAGAGGAGGAGAGGAAGGGAGGAGGGAGAGGAAGAGATAAGGGTGACTCTGTGAGGAGATGAGTTAAAAAAGGAGAGGAGGAGATTGTATTGATCCGATCCGCGTGCAACCACCTCGCTTATGTCGACTTTTTTCTCGGTTGGTGGGCTAAAAATAGATCTTTAGTCCCGGTTGGTAACATCAACCGGGAGTAAAGCTTATATCGATCTTTTTTCCCGGTTGGTAACATCAACCGGGAGTAAAGCTTAAATGGATTAATGCCCCATAATAACGGTTGGGGCAGTGAAATTAACCCTCCAAATATTAACTCGTTAATATATACATTTTATATTTGAAAATGATATTAGGAATTTGTCCTAAACACTTCAATGCTAGTGTATATCTATTATATAGGTTTTTTTAGAGAAGGATTTATTATATATGCTTATAGAGTAAATTTCACAAAACAGGTTTTGGGATGCCCATCTCAGAAAGCTCTGCTTTTTTTTTATTTCAAGGATTCTCAAGCTTTGGGCAAAATGTTTTACAAAAACATCATATTTGTGCAAAATACTAAAATTTCACTATGTATAATACATAGTGTTTTTAAGCATATACTCATACTGAAGGCTGAAAATACACTTTCCTATACTATCTACCCTATTTCCTTCCGAACTCCCCTAATTCATGATGGAAGATATGAAGAAGCAAACTTTGGTAGCAGCATCATGTGGATGTATTACCTAGACCTAAACTTATCTATTATATACAAAAAGTCCATTAAACTTCCTACAAACGCTCTTAAGCCGCCACGTGGCACTCCTACAAACGCTCCTAAGTCGCCATATGGCACAATCTAATCTCACCGTCGATTTTCACTTAAATTGGTGGACCCGTTATTGTAGACCATTAGATCAGATCTATTATTAAAAAATAATAACTTTTGTATTGTTTATAACATAGGAGCGCTGTCCGTATGTATGATTTTGTACGATACAAATACTACTGCTGTTCTTCCCGTATGTATACAAACGTACATGATTGTGAAAACAAAACGATAAAATTTCCTAATCTTCGCTGGAAGAAAACAAATACACATGTATACATAAAAAAGACAGAGAATTTATATATGCATTCATAAAAATCAACGGTCTTTTTAAAATATGATTTTCTACAATATAAAGATAAAATATATTACTTCACAAATATCAATATGTTTAGTTAAACTAAGATCTATAATAAATATTTAATCAATGTTCCTTTAAACCATCTTCTAAATCAATCTATTATATACTAAAAGTATATTATACGAATGCTTTTACATCGCTATGTGGCTCTCAAATAAATTAGAGAAATCATTGAAATCTTTTATATACTAAAAATCTATTATATACCTGCAAATGCTCTTACATTGTCATGTGGCGCTCTAATAAAATTAGAGAAATCCAAAATATTTAGAGTAAAAAAAGAAAAGCATCCAACCTTATATTTTTCACTTAAATTAGTAGACCCATTATTTCAAACATTGGATTAGAGCTCTTAAAATTCCCATGCCGCTAATCTCTATCCCGGAAAGAAAACATAAAGTGCTTGTGTCGTAGGATCGTCTCCCTCCCAAAAAAAACAAAACTTAAATACCTGCACCATATACGATCGAAAAAACAGTTAAAGCCAAAAAAAATAAAAAAAGAAAACATGCACTAGAATCAGAAAGAAATACTAATAAGGAAAAATCATAAGTGCCGGCACTGATTTGTTGTCAACAGCCTTTAATCTACGATTTTAATAAAATAATACTACACAGTTAAAATTAATCATAAACTTATTGTAGTGATAAATATATCATCACAAATGACACCAGCATGTAATAGCAAATGTGATAATAATGTTTCAAATAATTTCATATCATATTTTATGGTGTCAAATATCACAAATATAAAGCGTTATCTTGAATCTACATATGTAATAATTAAAATAACAAAACCTAGCATTTTTTTAAGTACATCTATTTAGGTTTATTTAATTTTGGAGAGATTGAGATTCTCAAAGTATTTGGAATTTTTTCAAAACTTTTCTTATTTGAGCTGTGAGAAGCATAATTAATAGATTGATGAGAAACATTAAATTAAATTTTAGCCAGTGATAATAAAACAACATAATTTAGATGTGATTTTTAAGTGGATCTTTTTAAGTTTATTTTGGGTGAGATTGAGATTCTAAAAGTATCTGAAATTTTTCAAAACTTTTTTATTGCTCTTTGAGAGTGAGAAGCATACATGATAGATAGTTAATTTGCTACAATACAACCCTTAATTCATCACAAGAATTATGTATTTTCTTTGCCAAGTAGTATTGGAAAAACATGAATAATCCAATAAAATACGCATAAAACTACTTATGTTATATTTTTTATAGTTGATAGAGATTCTTATATACCGGGTATAATTGATGGACAAATGTTATACACCACTAAACCCAACTGTAAGTGCACTCTAGCGAATTAGTTATTGTAAATAAGTTTGTGAAAATAAGTACATTCTTAGTATTAGTAAATGAGTCTCGTATTCTTAGTATTAGTAAATGAGTCTCGTATGGTTGCTTACAACATATGGTGGAAACAAATTTGGTGCTAAAGTATAAATCTTTATCAAAATATAAATAATGATATGGTGTTTTGCATATTCTCATGGTGGTATGTCTTTTTAGCTATAGTTTTTATTAAGTATTGTCAAATGATTAACCCCACTCATATTGTATGTATTCCATTAAAATTTGAGAAGTACTTATTACTAACTTCATATGAAAAAAATGCATTTTCATCAACTCCTCCTTTCTGTCCCTCTGTCCTTGAATGCAGGGTACAGTACTTGCTATGCCATCGTAAATATTGCATGGGTATGTACATGGTTTAGTTAAGGTAGTGTCCGTGAAAGGTCACCATAGGCAGTGCCGCCACAGTGTAACTAAAGTGACATACTTACCATATAATCATTTGTGAGTGTACTGATAGTAAACTAAGTGTTAAAATTGCACTCTAGGATGGTTTTTAGGGGTATGGCTACATCGACGCGGAACCTATATGTTTCAAGGCATTACATACAAAAGCCTTCTTTCGCAGATACAGTCGACTTCATCCATTAGAGAGGCATTTATGTTTATTTTAAACAGTGTTATCGTATTATTCGGTAGATATGGTATATTTAGACTATTTATATATAGATGCGAAAATAAGTGATGAACACCGGGCTATGCAGGTAGATGAATTTTTTAGTGTATTAATAATGTATTATTTGTTTTAGTGGTACTAATACAGTTTCATTTATTAAAAGTTGACCTAACTCTTAAAACAATGATAGTAAGTAGTGATGACAAACGACCAGTTTATATATGACCAGGACAAAGGTATTTTTGTTTAAATCTAAGAAACATTCTTATCATGTTAGAAGTATTTTAAAATCTACCATCTATTTTATGGTAAATATATTTCTTTTTTTTCTTATTGTAGGGTAATCTAACTTCTCTTACAGTGTGTGTCTCTAGCATATGATTCCTTTTAGCATTATATGATTATTAAGATATATGATTCCTTTTAGCATTATTTTTTTAATAACAAATAAGATGCCTGTGCATCTGTGTGAATTTCCTTTCCGATTTATATTCCACAAATCAAATGTTCTCCGGTTCATATCCTGTCGTTATAGCGTTTGAAACACAAACTATAATACATGCCCACGCGAATGCGCGGGCTACCTTCCTAGTTATAGTAATGGGCAACCGATGTTTCTTGAGAATGTGGCTAAAGTGTGTATCTACTTGGAAGTATGATATATAGTTTTTTATACGTATATTATGCACAAGTATAATGGCCAGACAAATCATTTAGATATGAATGTAGGATAGTTACGAAACATCTCGCACTGAAAATTAGGATTCTTTGAAACAATTTGTAGAACCCCGTGAAATTTGCTTTTTTTTTATAAATACGATAAGCTTTTTCGAAAAAGCAATAGTCAAATATGGAGTGAATCTATGCTCCTTTTTTTATACAGATGCACTGAAAAAAAAAGAAGGTAGCATGAAAAGGGAATCTTGAAAGATGCTTTAGGATCGACAGGCTGCTCATATTGGGCAGGGAGCAGCATTGAGAAACACTGTTGGAGAAACCATCTTTGATCGGTCCACTAGATTTCACAATAGTCCCGGCCGTTTTGCTCTTCTCTGGCTACCAGACACACAAGAACAACACGTTCTTTTCCTTGGACATCAACGTTGGACTTTTAAGGGGCGACTGTGTTTTGCTTGTGTGGCCAAGGTAGCTTCAACCTCCATCGCGAGAGGCCCTGACTGCGTTTGCTCCTCGGGTTTATCCTTTTGCAGTTCATCATGCAATCTTTCTCTCCATCACCGTTCGCGCAAGTTGGTTCGCTGCTGATGTGGAAGAATCAGATGAAGGACCTGATTGCTTTTTTCTTTTCTTTACAAGTCCTCTGCAATTGTGCGTACTATGGTTTGATTTGCCAACTTTCAGGGGTCTTTATGCAAACTGGATGTACTCTAGTTGTATACTTATCTCATGTACCATGTTCTGTATCTGAACTTTAATTACCAAATAAAGTACATGAGTTTTCCAAAAAAGAAAACGACCAACAAGCACTAGGTCAAGATAAAAAAATACAACTACTGACACACCAAGCCTCAGAGGCAAAAAAAAAAGAAAAAGAAAAAGAAAAGAAGTCAAGGTCTTCTCCTCATCAAATAAATATATATAAATCCTCAGTCTGCAGAACTCCAATTCACAAGCAAATTGCAGCGCAGCATCCATCCCATCCCATCTTTCCATCCATGGGGGTGTTCGACGATGGCTGCGGCGAGTGCTGCTCCAGCTGGAAGGACTTCTGCTGGTGCCTCCTCTGCATCGCCATCCTCCTCGCCATCGCCCTCATCGTCGTCCTCGTCGTCGCCTTCGGCTTCGTCGTCCAGCCCTCCATCACCGTCGACGACGCCTCCCTCACCCGCCTCGCCCTCGCCGCCACGCCCACCACCGCCCTCGCCTACAACCTCTCCCTCGCCCTCACCTTCCGCAACCGCAACTGGGCCATGTCCATGAAGAACGTCGAGCCGCTCGAGGCCGCCTACAGGTTCGACGGCCAGCAGTTCGACCGCATCCAGCTCGCCGACAAGGGCGCCAAGCAGGGGCCCAAGAAGACGGTGGTGTACAGGCTCTCCTCCGGCAGCGACGCTGCCGCGGCGCCCGGCCTGGGCAACGCCGGCGTCGCCGAGTTCAAGAAGGAGAACGCCACGGGGACGTTCGAGGTGGAGGTGGGGGTCACCGGCAAGGTGAGCTACACGGCGCGGATCACCAAGTGCAAGATCGAGGCGACGTGCAAGCTCAAGCTGCAGCTCGCGCCGCCGGGGCAGGAGCCGGCGGCGGTGGTGTTCCAGAAGGTCAAGTGCAAGCTCGCCAAGGCCGAGAAGAACTGCTAGTTTAGTGCCAAAGTAGCGGTTGTTGTTGCAATTGTGTTAATTAATTTGGATATTTGTGCAATTGTGTTTAAATAATTTGCAAGTGGTGATTGTTTAGTGCTACTTGTGTATTGTGTGAGTGATGTCTTTTCCTGCACAAAGTATTAATCTAATGTGCGGTTTAGTTTGGGTTAATTAGCTGTTCTAGTCAGGGGAGTGACAGCTAAGCTAGCCGTTAGTTTGGAAGGTTGTTGTTTTATTATTGTTGGACCAAAAGTGTATTACTCCTAGAATCTTTTCTTTACGATTTTGTATATTGATTCATGTTTAATTGGGATTTAAAATCAAAGTGACTGGATTGAATTGATTTCTTAAAGGGAAATGCTAGATTTCGAGATTTCCCCAAATCCCAGTTACTCAATGGTTAGGGAGTCATCTTCAAACTCCAGCCCAAGACAGCCGAGGGAGAACGAACTAGGAGAGGCAACAATAGCTCCTCACTAGGTAAGATGGCAGCCAGGACTTATCCATGACTACTCCTCGCTGATCCCTTCACCCCCCCCCCCCCCCCCCGCAATCGTCGAAAATGTATTAGGTTTAGGTTGGGTTGAAAGTGATTCGGATAATATCCGTCCGACTAGAATTTTTTCGGATTTAGATAGTTTCGGTCGGATATATCCTGAAATTTTTGAATTCGGAAATGAATTCAGATATGAAAACGAATATGATATAGGTGATATCGTTGGATATTATCCGGTATTTTCCATCGGATATCCGACTTACACATAAGGCCCATAAGGCAGCCCAATCTAAGAGGAGGCAAATCAGACTTCTTGAAAAAATGAATTTCGAATTGAATTTTATGATACTAAATGAACTCATATGAAAAAGTTGTCAAAAACAAAGTTGTAGATCTCATTGAGATCTACCAATTTTATTTTGGTAATTTCTCCATCCGAGTTTGATTGAATTATATAAAATTTTAATTTTAAAATATAAGAAATTCAAATAATTTTTTTGGGTAGTAAATGATTTCAAATGGAAAAATTGTCAAAAACAAAGTTGTATAACTTATCAAGATCTATAACTTTTATTTGTTCATTTTTCTATATGACTTTGTTTGAACATTTTGAATTTGAATTTAAAACTATGACAACTTCAAACAACATTTTCAAATACTAAATAATTTCAACTGAAAAAGTCATCAACAACAAAGTTGTATAACTCATCAAGATCTATAACTTTTATTTTGGTCATTTTTTCATCCAACAAAGTGATAGTAACATTGTTCACAAAAGTTACATATTTCTCATTTGGTTTTATAAACAATAAGATAGAGATGTAAATTTTGTGAACAATGTTACTATCACTTTGTCGGATGAAGAAAAGATCAAAATTAAAGTTGTATGTCTTGATGAATTCTACAACTTTTATGTTCATGACTTTTTCAGCTGAATTTATTTACTGCTTCAAAATATCATTTGAAGTTTTGAATTTCAAATTTTTAATTGATAAAACAAAGTCACAAAAAATTGGCCAAAATAATAGCAGTAAAAACACAATAACATGATAAGAGCATGATTTTAGAAACACAATAGCAAAAATCGTTTGTGAGTAGTGAGGGGTTTTTATTCCGATTAATATTCGTCACCGTATTCGTTTCACTTCTTATTCACCCCGTATTTGTATTCGATAATATTCGATTCCAATTTCATATCCGGGTTTCCAATTCCGATTTCGATTCCAAAAAAAATTATGAAAACGAATATGATAGAGCTAGTTTCTGACCGTATTCGATCCGTTTTCATCCCTAGGTTTAGGGTTATTAGGTGGGGATAGGGAGAGAGAGAGGGGAGGAGGGGGTCCCGGGCTTAGGATGGTCTTTGCCAGCTGCCGGACCGGCGATGGGAGAGCATGAGGTGGCGGAGGCGTCATCGAAGCCCAAGAGGAGGAGGGCGACATCGGCGACCGTGTGCTGACCATTGTTAAGTACCAATTTCAGCTGTCAACTACCTCAATAAATAAAGGGAGAAATAACATTTCTTACACGTATATTAGTTATAAATAATGTAGTTCCATTTATCTAGGAAAAATATTGTGTATGTAGAGATTATACGCTAAAGTGAAGGAGAAATGAGCCGACATGCAAAGAAACATGCCTCCAACGAATCACATGCAAGCACACGGATCGATGATGGTTGAGTATGATGGTTTCCGATGTCGGTGCACCCGTAATCGTCATTGGGTGTCCATAAAAAACGTTCACGTGTAATTCTCTATATTAGGCTAGTCGATCTATGCTACGGAGAGGGTCTAGTAATCTTAAAGGATTGCACTAGTTCTAACTTGTTCATTCGAAGGATGGGAATCCCGAGAGAATTAGTGTAAATAATGTAAGTATGGTGCTTAGATTAATTAAATGTTGTTGGATGCACGCATACCCACGGAAAGTAAGGTAGGCGGCAGATGGTGACAGTCCTATCCGTCCTATGTATTCCTCTATGCCCGGGTTTGACGTAAGAGTTTGTAAAATGCCATAATCACGCTGACATACCAACAGGAAGTGGTCTCTCGGTAGTGCCAACTAGGTGTCTAGAACTAAGTCCTAGCCTTGTAAGTATGTATATCTTAAGTATAATTTAAACACTATTGTTGATGGGGTTTGCCTGTAGACCGTACTCTGAGGGTATTGTGGTACGTTGGTACGAGGATCTACACAAAACGTCATCTAGCACACAAAAGACAAGGATTATATTGGTTTAGGCCCCTCGTAAAGTAATAGCCCTAATCCAGTTTATATGGGATTATGAAGAGAACCATAGAGATTACAATAGAGAACAACAGAACCGTTGAGTTATTGAGTTGACCTTTGTTGAGAATAATTGACGAGATCAATCGGCGAGTTGGCTTCGAGTCCTCCGGATTGCTTCTGCTATGGCTGGTGGCAATGCTATGATTCGATGATCCTGTACCCCTCAGGGGGCCTTGTATCTATACCTCGAATTGTCTTGGCTTCCAAGTAGAACTCAGAGAGATTCTAACGCATACGAGATCACAGAATCCACATCTCCTCCGTATAGGACCCAGATACCTTCTATTCGGGGAATCGCTTTCCTTATGCATTGGCCTAATTCTTTACGACTAAAGTAACCTTCCTGTATACTTGAGGATATACTGTATTTGTATACTTCGTAACCCCAAGGATAGGAGGTATGCCCTATCCATAACCCTAACAGCTAAAGTATATATGAACCTTAGCTCTCTTTTGTCCTTTTTCGCTGTCTAGTGTATTATCATTAGAGATGAATATCAGGTGTGTCACACTACCCAATTACTTCCTCTGTCCCAAATAATAATGCCTATATTCCTTTTACACGGTCTTCAATAGTATACTTTGACCATTAATTTATTTCATGTTATGTTTCCAACCAATATGAAATTAACATCACACGACAGTACTTTAAAATATGAATCTAGTAATATAATATGCATAATTCTTTGCATATATATATGTTTAGAATGATTGATGGAGGGAGTATTTTTATCGCAATTAACCCCTTGTCTAGATTATGGGATATTAATTATAGAATGATAACGAATATATGAAATCTCTCTTTATGCCGCCGCCTTCCCTATGAAAAAACAAATACAGTACTCTCGGAATACTCCCGGGCGAAATGCTACAATGGTATCCGTGCGCTTGCGGATTTATTTGTGATTGTAACATGTACCAACTCAGTCCGTGCGTGTGGTTTTGGGGTCAGAGGAGAAAAGGATTGGGGATAGGGATGCTGTTAGTGATATGCCCTAGAGGCAATCATAGAGATGATTGTATCATATACATTTACATATTTATTCGACATTGTTCTTTGAAATAGATAACTCATTATTGGTTAATGAATATGTGATTCTTTCATGAGACTCTTTATGTTGTTTGTAACTATTTCTAAAGGATCCCTGATCAAATATCATATGTGGAACAAATATGTTTATATGATCAGCACATGTATTAATTGATGATCATATCTCATGGATCATGGTATAGAGATACCAAATTAATAATGTGAATACATGTTGGTGAACATGTTGTTGGATAGACCCAACATGAGACACTGCAAGAGTCATATGTGTTGTGTCATCAGTGATCTTATTTAGTGTTGGTGTTGAATCCTTAGACCTGTGATTATCATGGTTCCCAACATGTGTAGTAGCTTACTTAGGGACTGCTAAACGCTACTCCCTAATTGGGTAGTTATAAAAGTAGTTTTCGGGTATGCTATGAAATATGTAGTGGGATATGAATAATCAAGATGAGATTTGCCCCTCCTATGGAGAGATATCTCTAGGCCCCTCGATGTTGTAGATTATGGGAGTGCATTGCCATGCCAAAGGCGATTGAGGAGTCAATCACAAGTTATATAATCTATCAATAGGTTCGATTGAATGATTGAGCTATTAGAGGATGGCACATATCTAGCCTTGAGCTTAATCGATATCATGAGGCAAAGGGGTTCATACAAGTATACACTAGAGGTTTAGCCGTTATGATCTTTATGTATGCCCGGTGGGTCAATACGTTCTGCTAGGGGCCGCTGTTGACGTGTGGACCGAAAATGAGTTTTCGGGTTACAGCCGAGTGTACATGAACCTACAGGGTCGCACGCTTAATGGGCCAGAATATGGGGATTGGATGGAGATCCAATATGAGCTTAATTCGGATAGGGATCCGAATAGGAGTCCTACGGGCCTGCAAGGCCCGAGTGATGGATCCTATATATTCGTGAGGGGTGTGACCGGCGGAGGTATTGCATCACGTGAGAAACCCTAGCCGTCACTCCCCTCCCCGAGCAAAACCCTAGCCGCGCGCGGGTGTTAGCACATCTACGCGTGGCATTCCGTCCTTGTACGTGTGGATACCGGTAGAGACGCCGCTGGTTTGCGATGCTGATCAGCGTGGGAATACGGCGAGGAGAACGCACGAGGAGGAGAAGATCGAGCCGGTGCGATCGACTACTTCCTCTACATCGACGCGCGCTATTTCGCTAGAATTCCTTCGACCTCTTAGCACCTTCTTCCACTGCGTAGCGCGTCGAGTGGTAACGATCTATGATCTAATACTTGCATGGTTCCTGGTTTACGCGATAGAAAATTTTGATTTATGCTATCGTAGCCTACGTGTATCCCAACAGATGCTTCATGTGCGAATCTCAACGCTGTTCTTACATTGTAAAAAAATTGACTGAATTTTAATGTCTTTTCAGTTGACTGAAAATTTGATAGCACCTTGCTTTTTTAAAAAAGCAAAAGCTATTTCTTATTACTAAGTTGCATGATACTTTTAGAAACAATTAATTAAATTTAAGTCCA